TGTTCAGTGATATGAACGAGTTTGTTTGCTATTAAAAAAATACGGTTACCTCAGCAGATTTTGGGTGGAATATGCATCACATGTTTAAAACTGAGCAGTGAGTGAAGAGGTGGTGTGGGGACCGGAGGTTGTTAAGGAACCCACCTGGCCACCAAACCCCGTGGAAAAGTCAGGGAAGTGGGCAGGGTCTGACAGGCACAGAGGGGTAGTGGGAGAGGGTCTGAAGATGCAGTGCAATSGAACCCAGCGCTCATGCTTGAAAGTCCTCAAAATTTCAACCGATCTCTTTTCCGATCTCTTTTCCCCCGATTTTTGTTTCTCCCTCCCCAACCCTCTCCCAGTGTCAGCTTTTCTTTGTGTAGCATCACCCCCAGCTCTGTGGCTGAGCCATCAGTTTGTTGAGTTCCTGGGTCTGCTTTCATTTACCTCTTTCTTTAGTTTGGGGAACTTAACGAGTGTGGAACGGGGGTGGCTCATCAACACCAAATTTCTGTTGCAAACGATGCCTTTCAGCCCATCCGTGCACAAACCCCAAGCTGCCACCWTTCCCCAGGCCAGGTCCCAGGCAGGGGGTGCAGCTCCTCGACAGAGCCCAGTTGTTTCCTTCTGTCTTTCTCCTGTCCATCCCTCTCTTTGCAGTCCTGAGAACTGTGTATTTCAAGTGCAGATACCAGATCTGGGGCCCAGATCAACTCCAAGTTCTGAATGGGTGTTAAGAAATAATGGTCTGTTCTTTTTTTTTTTATTATTATTATTATTGTTATTGTTGTTGTTATTGTTATTATTATTATTATTATTATTACTACTATTTAATGTTACTTTTTTTGCCTCGGGATCCATTTCTCCCCAATTCCCACATCCCAAATTGCCACCAAGGCAGGGAATTTGCTTTGCACACCCTTGCTGATGCCCCATTCCCTTTGGCCTTGGTGCAGCTCAGTGGAGAGCAGTGCTAGAGTGTCCTGCAGCTGCCAGCAGAGAGATTCAGGCCCCTTAAAAGTGATTTATTTTTAAATAAACACCGAAGAATCAAGGCACTGCTGATGCTTAGCAACCTCATGTCCTAGCCTGCCTTTTTTGCTCGGAGTTTTAAGTCGCGTTAGCTTTAAAAGAGGTTTTTCATCCTACAGAGTTTCTTAGCTCACAGTACGGCAAACAGCATCCCAAAATTCTCCCCCAAACCCTCCCGGCTCTGTCAATCCCGGTGGGAAGGAGGGGTGGGGCTGTTTTGGGGTAAAACACAGGTTTCCATCTCATCCCTGAGTCCCACCGGTTTGGAGATTCAGCTTTACTAACCCAGAGTGTCGTTTCCATGAGTGTTACAAAGTTCATTCTGTCTTAAATGGGGGGGTCTGAGGAAATCCAATTGCTTTCTGGAGAATCACCCTTTTGTACGTGTGTTGAATTWAAAAATTGCACTAACTGATGTGGTA